AATTAGGGGAAAATCGAGAATTCTCGTGTCACATTGGCTTTATACTACCCGCTACACGGAAATCATGGGTGAAAAACTGGAAAATGTGGGTAAGTGCTGAATGGGGGAGGTTCGTACAGAGACCCTGATTGGGTCGTACCAAGACCCTCCCTCGAGAGGGTGGGGTCGTACTGGCAGCATCACTTCACACATTACGATACTGTGCCCTGTGTGAGAAGGCGTGGAATAGAGCGCTGAGTGTGGGGAGGGGGGGGGGGGATTCTCCACCAATAGTGCCGTGCTGAGTCCGCAAGAAGTGGCGAGAAATTCTGTTCTGGTTGCATATCAACTTACGCGACTTCACACGCCCTATCGTTTGCAGGAACCATGACTAGATGGCGTTGCTTTGATATGCACTGCCTATCACACAGTCTCTCTCGCACAAGTTGACTTTTGGTGTAATTATTGAGAATATTCAATCATATAAGAGCATCCTCCAGCTGTATACTGGTAAAACATCGCTAGATTTAGGCAGTTATTTGTGATGTGTAAAGTGTTCATACAGGGCGGCACGTATCGATGCTTGTGACTTCTCTCGTGATGGGTTAGTGCACGATAGCCATTTGAGCAGTTCTGATTAATGTCAGTAATCAGGGGGGAGGTGAGAGGAGCTGGAATGGGTCTCTGGTCGACTTCCTTTTCTACCGATAGTAAGCAATAAAGGAAACAGCCGATGTAGAAAACCGGGCAAGCTCATCCTCATGCCTCCTGTAACAGTGCCGACTGATCATGTTTCAAAACAGATGACGGAAAGATGTGGCATGAATCGAGATTTTTTGGAATTTTCTCCTTCTGTATCATTCCACACTAGCAAGGGAAGGATCCCATCTCACCATGGCCAAAACGGGACAAAGATCCGTTTTGACCATGGTGAGATGTACCTTCAGATGCTGATTTCAAATCTAGTCTCCAAATTTGCTAAACGATCCGAGAAAAGGGAACATGCTGTGCGGAGTGGGAGTGTCATGACCCTCACCCGATAGTTCCTCATCAGGTACCTCCCCATCCCACCTACCATCTGCTAAAGTCCTCACTTTCCATTTTTCACAAAAATGTTTCTACTTCTCTTCCAAAAAACTGCCGTCGAGGAGGGAGGGTGTGAAAAAACGGTGCGATTTTCTCGCAGCTCGGAAAAATCGCTACCAAAACCATATACGACCCTCGTAGACTAGATACGACCCCTCTCCCCCTGCGAAGGAAAGATCCCCTTGACGTTTCTCCCAACGATACTGTGTTGGAGACGGTGTTATGAAGTTATCACAACAATGCTGGGTCTTGGGGAAAAGTCAGACCCCAGGTGGGACATGAACCCGCACCCCACGGAACTGAGAAGGCTTTTCACCACGGCATAGAGAAGGTGAGATCAGACCTCCGCCGAAGTGAAATTTAAGCCCCCCGACCCCCTCCCTTCCTTAGAATCGCTACATCACAGCGAGGGGACGGATTTTCACAGTCAGTACAGGCTAGCAAAGCACAAGTTGTAAGCAATACAGAGCAGGCAAGAAAAATGCCCATAAGTCCGTCTCTAGAAGAGGAGGATCGATAGGGGTGTCCCATCAGATGGATCGTAGTCGGTCACTGGGGAGTAGGGGTCGTATTCGGTTGATGGGTGTCTTAAATCGGGCCTTAATCGGCGGGCCTGTAAGTCAGGTTGTTTTTCCGATGGCGAGAAGCATTGCCTTTGTCTCGTGATCAGTTCGCGTCGCGGTCGGCGTGGGTACAGTTTTTTTTTTTTTAGTGAGAAATGGGGGAAGGAGCTGGGAGAAGTGCGGAGGAGAAGCTGGAGGAAGTGGAGGGTGAAGTAGAAAAGGGGGTGAGGGATGTGCCGAGATGAGTACGGTTTGGGGGGGGTGGTATTCTCTACCGCACGATACTATCGTGCCAGATGAGGGCTTTGGGGGGAGGGGTTGTATGACAGTGGTATTCTCTACAGCACGATACTATCCATGTCCCAAAATTTTAGCAGATCGAGCAGCCAGGTTTGAATCAGCGTGGGGAAGGCCTAAGGAGGATACATCTCGCCTCAAATGGCCATGGAGTAGGGATCCTTCCTTTATGGACCTGCCATCAGACATGTCACCTGCTATCTATATGAGAAGGAACACTCATTGCGTCACTTCTCGCGTGAGCCTGATGATAAGGCTTAAATCAGCCGACCACCCATCGACTGATCATTCAGAATTCGAAAAACTGGCACAAATTATGCGATCAGCGCAGGGAACTCCCCGTCGTAACGACAAACAATGTCCAAAGCTATGCCACCCCAAAAATTCAGAACCATCTCACTCAGGAAATCGTTTGGGAAACCCAGTCGAACCCCCATAGAGCCATTGATTTTGCATTTCCTTCAGGTGTTTTTTAGGCTACGACACGCCAAGCAACGCCTGTCACGCGCCTGCTGCAGAATGGAACGTGACGACAGCGGGGTTTCCCGATTTCGAATCGCCCCTATCAGCGCTCACAAACTTTTCTCAGGCATCTTCTGGCAGTTGCCACCTCCTAACAACTAACCCTTTTTGCAGAGAACACAGCTTACTCTTTCCTGCTGAAAAGTCTTCCTAGGAATTCTTACACATTCTAAAATCGCCACCTTTTTTATTCTCTCGGTTAAAAAACCGTAGAAGTGATATGTGTATAATTTCAGGACTGGGCTAAATCGCAAATTTCCCGGGTCGTGTGTGAGTGAGCGTGTGTGTGGGAGTTTTTTTATTCTGTTATTGTACTGCGAGTGTGTGCGGTGGAGAACGAATCCAGAATCTACCGCGAATATCAACAAATCAACAAACAATCAAAAATGGCAGCTCTAACGGCGACACCTATGGTCATTCTTGAAGAAGCAAAGAAACAGTTCCAAGGCGATGGCAAATTGAACGTGCAACTTCTCGATCAGGTTCATTCCCTAGGATGGTTGTGGATTTGTTTTGTAGAAAATTGAAATCGATTGATCTCAGGTTGTGACGATGATGAATCGAGCTACTGGTGAAGAACAAAAATTAGCCAATATGATCCTTGTGGAGCTGAAGGAGAACCCGAATTCCTGGACCAAGGTCTTCATATTTGTCTTAACTAGAAATTTTGCACAGGAGTTGTTTTCTGTCGTTGTTTGCTGTTGTTATAAGGACAAACAAGCCCTTTTCTCTTCATTTCCAACCAGGTTTTTCCATTTTGAACCTCATCGATTATTAGACAACTTGTGTGCAGCACCAGGTCATGTGACATTCATTATAGGCCTTATGCATATTACGAGCGATTGGCGGAAAGGTTACACTTCCAAGACGCAGTTCAGCAATTAGGAGGGTGTGGGAAGAGGGGGCATTTTGCACTTCTGCTTCACTAGTTCCTGTTTGCAAGTTCAGTCTGGTGAAGCCTGTGAACTCTTGTAAAGCTGGAGCAACCTCGCCGAGCCACCATGATCAGTGGAATTTGTACGGTAATTCCTTCGTCAGTGGTTGACAGGTGTTCTCTACAAACGTGGGCTGCTACCATTTCGTGGCTCCATGAGATTCCTTAGCTCCCCACTTGATGGCTCAGTGGGAAATAGGAGAAGTACAAATGCCTCCTGCTGTCGAACTGGATCCATTTCCAATTCATAGTTCCCTTACATTTCCATCATTCATGTTGTCTCTAATACAAACCGCTATTTTTTTCCGCGGACCGCCATATTGCACGTATTCCTGCGGCTCCTTCAATAATCGAGAATCTATCGATAATAGCTTTGTGATAAAATTAACATGTTGTTTACCAGGGGGCACAAAATCAGAAACGAACAATTTCCGAAAAAATCGGGTAAGACGGAGGTGCAGTTCGGTGACAGAAGGCTGCATTTTACCCTTTGCTACTTCCCATTGTCGTGTCGAGCCATCAAGTAGAGATTGTGAAATCTTGTGAAGCCATGAAGTGACACCAGTCAAAGTTTGTAGAAACTACTTGTCAACTCCTCTAAAGAACACCTGTCAACTCTTGTAAAGCAATCAACGCGACAGTAGAAAACGGAGCGGAAGCGGAAGATGCCCTCCACCCCCTCCTCTCCAAACTGCGTCAGGTGGTTTTTCCACGTTTGCTCGCAAGAGCCAAATGTTGACGCGCAAGGTTCGCGATGCGGTAAAGTCTGAAGAGGTGATACGGCTAATCGTCTAGTGTGTTATTTTCCCCGACTTCTTTCAGGTACTCATTTTCAGCGTGACAGCTTCCCCACTTTGACGCCCGACATCTTGAAGTTTAAATGGGCGTTAATAACTTCAGGGGAGGAGGAATTCGGAGGACTCTTTGAAGTCCTTAAGTTAAAGTAGGACTGTCATCATCCTAGATGACTATATGTGGATTTCTTAAAATCAGTTCACCAATTTGAGGGTCATAATCGCCGCAAGTCTCCATTTGTGGGAGTCGAGCTTTGTACAGTGTCTCCTTCTTGTGGTTTATGAGCGCTGGCGCCAGACCAGAACTGAGTCGCGCCGCCGTCGTCGCGTTGCCGGATGCCGTGCCTTTTCACTAGGTGGACATGATATTCACGTTCACAAGGATCAAACTGTCTCGGGGAGGAATTTCGATCAAAATATGTCTCGAATTTCGGAGAGTTGGCCGTAGAGAATAAATCTTATCCCCTCAATGGTTGAATATCTTTGAAAACTATCACTTCACTACGCAGATTGTCCCTGCAGAGTTCCAGAGAATGCATGGGTCAAAGAGGTACTTCATTATGGCATTACTTAGTGTCATTTCAAGCTGGTGCTACGAATAAATTTCCCATATTTGGGCATGAATATGCAGCTATACTGGAGCCTCATGGTGATCTGCATGGTGGTCTATAGTCCATCAAAATTCTAATAGTCAAAGCTCAGTCGGAAATTTCAAAAGTTTTGGGACAGGGTTGAGCGTGAACTTCAAGATCTTGTAAAGGCAGGCAGATCTCAGTTATAAACTGATGTTTGTCATGGAATAGTTGATGGATTTCTTATCGAAATTGCACAGCGAGCCCCTGTGGCTCACTATCCTACCAGACAGTTGTGTGAATGAACTCAACAGAATGTGGGTTTAGCAATTACCTTTTACTGAGAACGATTTCTTCCAGGTGGACGCTATTCTCGAATACTCGGACCTCGCTGAATCGAAATATTTTGCGTTGCAAATTCTTGAATCCGTAATTCAAACAAAGTACGAACTATGCTTTTGGGTGAGCTTACTTCATTGTGATGCTACTCTGAGTTTTTTAGATGGAAATCATTGCCACTTGTACAACGCGATGGTATAAAAGGTTTCATAGTGCAGTTCATTTTGAAACTTAGTGAGTCTCGTATTGAATCGGAAAAGAACTCGCTTTTGCTACACAAACTCAATCTTGTTCTTGTACAGGTATTCGTCTTCACCTCTCATTTCTAAATTTCTTATCGCTGATTAATACATTTCAGATTGTCAAGCAAGACTGGCCGAAGCACTGGCCTTCGTTCATCACTGACATCGTTGAGTCATCGAAGACGAACGATAACATTTGTGTGAATAATATGAACATCCTGAGTCTGCTGAGGTGGCTTATCTTCCTTTCCTGTACGGATAAAGTTACACACTACACGGTAACAGACCGTTTTTTTGCATGAGGAGTTTTGGTCTACATTGGTTGCGTTCATACTTCACGATCGAGGAATAGGTGACCCGGCGATTCGACGTTTCGGTTGAATGTGTGCCAGGAGTGCACAGGTATCGATCGACTCCAGTTCCTGCTGATTTAAAGTGAGTGGGGAGCGTCACTTCCCAGTAACAGCATCATGTCCGTAGTACGGTGTACGAGTTGTCCCCGGAGATAGAGTTGTTACGCAGCGCCATATTGAGATGACTGCGGCGCTGCGTGTCGCCTTGAACTACCGAGTCGACTCGTACTGTGATGCCGCGAATGGAAAATAACACTCCATAGCCTATCGAATTGCTGGCGACCGCAGTCGATCGATACTCATGCACTCCTTTGGCAAGCATTCACCCCAAATCTGTTCTCCCGAATTCCGCTAAATTTTCTAAATTTCTTTTCTAAAAATTAAAAATTAAAATTCTGATCAAAAATTTCTAAAAATTTTAAATTTTTCGCCAAAGAATTCCGCTAAATCACGCGAAGAATCACGTGAAGGGGTCAAACCGACCGAGGGTTTTCTGGTGAAAGAGCCTCTACCTATGGCTCATTTATTGTCTTTTAAATTCTGCTGGCGGTTGTTTAGGTCTTCACGTTCATCATTTGTGTCAACCAGTTGAAGTTCTCGTAGGCCCACTCTTTAGTACTCGAGACAATTTCATGTTTTTTGCACAGTCACACACGCACAGTCCGACCTTGATGGCGATTTGCGCTGTCTGTCCCCTCCCAACTGCAACACAGTGAAAAATAATGGGGCAGTTTAAGAAATTAACATGTCAGCTTTCACAGTAGACATCTCTCCACCCAAGCATCCACTGCTAAACAACAATCACAGCAAGGTGGTTGCGCTCATCACTTAATATATCAATCGATATTAAGGGGCTAATGTGCTTATTGTGAATTTATTCCATTGCTATGGTGACTGAAAACTGAAAGAACCACTTTTGCCCCGTACGCATCCGATTTTTTGCATCTATCCCTTCCTGGACCAGGAAAATACGGCGTCTAGGGTAGGTTCAGCATTTGTGAGTTAGAGACGGTGCGTTTTTTTATGCCGAGCACGACCAAACCGTTGCTCTGTACGCCAATAGTCCTTCTGTCATAAAGTAACGTCAGATCCAATAATATTGTAGTTCCCGCTGAGTTTTCCACAACTTTGAGAACTGAAAAGCGCATGGTTAAAGCCGACAATTTCATCCATCTGCCATTTTATCTGGCTTCTTTGACCAAGCTCCAGGCCGCTTTGCTCATCCCCTCTCTAGCAGAGCAGTAAACCGATGATTTTGTAAATGAACCAACTCTGCCCGAGATTTTTTTTATGAAGGGCCAGATTGTGTGGTGAATCGAGCAATGCTACAGGATTCAAAAGCAGTGTAGAGAAGATGACGAATAATGTGAAGCTTGATGTTTACACGAGTTCCCAGAATCGATGCAGTTCATTCAGTAAACAGCATTATCGGGTGCAGTTCAGCAGTCTATGACTTTCTTTTTTTGATGACTTCCCGGATAGCTCTGATGATTTCCTAGTAGAGTATGCACCCTGCCGCTAACATAGGCAACAGAAACCCTGAACTGGTGCGATGGAGAGCCCCTCATTTTGGATGAACATTCAGTGGTGCGCTAACTCCGATTTGGCTCTATTTTATAGGTGGCGAACAGTGCTCGATTTTTGACGCTTGGTCTGCCAAGGGTGTCCAGCTAGTTATGTGCAATCCTCTCGAGAACTACGTCAGGTTTTAGTTCTTCACTGCTGCGATCCAAGTAATATGCGTTTCAAGATGTGACAACTTCTAGAAGCTGACATATTGACAAGTTGATACATTGTCATTTTGTAACGCCCGATCTTTTTCATAACGCACAGTTTATGTTTTGAGAGTGCGTTCATACTCTGCGTCGGCGTTTTAGCGGCTAAATATGTTCAGATATCGATTGCCTCTGTAAACGAAGGCAGACGCTCAAACGCTTTCGGACGCTCAAGACGCTGCGTCGATAGCTATAGTTCCTTAGTCGCTCGAAACACTGCCACAAAGTATGAATACACTCTGAGGCAGAGTACAGAAAATTAGTTGGTACAGTACATCCATTTGGTTTTAAACTGATTGAATTCCAGCGAAGAAGTGTTCGATTTTGGAAGCCAAAATCTCACCCAAGCCAAAGAACAACATTTGAAACAACAGTTTTGTGGCCAGTTTCAGGAAGTTTTCACGTTGTGTATAACCATACTTGTGAGTGTGATAATTCTTCTTAGATCACCTTGTTAGTATGATTATTTTTTGTATTCTAGGAAAAATGTCCAGCCAATTCAATTGTCGAGGCGACTTTGAAAACTTTACATCGGTTTCTTTCATGGATTCCCGTTGGATATGAAGTTGAAACCGATATCACCCAGCTTTTGAGTGAAAATGTGAGTAACCATTTGGGCTGCTGAGACTTGTGCTGGACAGCTTCTGTAGCTTAGGAGCCCAAGGCGCCGTGCCGGTCAAACTGGCACTGGAGCCGTTTGACCCCACACAACACTTTGGTGTTAAAGAATGAGGTCATCGCGACATGCGTTTCACATGAAGCCGTGAAGTGGGCGGTGAGGGCGTAGGTTACCGTGGCTAGTTGGATTGGCGCCGAAATGGTATGTCGCGTCAATGCAGGGAATGTAGTGGAACCGCGCCTTGGGTGTCCTCAATTACACCCTTGCTCTTCCAATTATATTATCTTCAGTTCCTTTCCTTGGAACTCTATCGCGTGGTAACACTGCAATGCCTTACGGAAATCTCTATGATACAAATCGAAGCCGAAGACAATGCTTATAAAGAGAAACTCTGCGCCATGTTCTGCGCCACCATCAAAGAGGTGCGTATAATCTCCTGAGTACCTACTAACAGAATAAAATATCACTGATTTCAGAGATAATAAGTTTGCTCGAAAAGATCTATTACGTTTACAGATTGGTAGTTTATTGGGTGAGGGCGCAGATTTGGCCGCTGCATATCAAAAAGGATCCGATCAAGATCAGAAGTTCATCTCTTGTTTGGCACAATTCCTGGTGGCTTTCTTGAAAGACCACTCTGCACTAGTCGAGGTTTGCTTGGATTCAGTAATTAAAAAAAGTTGGTAATTAGGAACAGCTCGGAGACGCAGTCCGACTTACAAGGGAGGTCTTTCAGGTCGTGGCGCGCTTTTTGGAAATGGTTTGTTGCTTGTTGTAGGGGTCCATACAAGGATCACAAAAATGGGTTTCATTTTTGCTATGCGTTTCTGGGGAGGTCAAAAAGTGAAAAAATTTGACAAGAATGGGCGATTTTAACTATCTTAATGGGCTCCGTTCTGATTGTAACTTCGAGCATGCATAGTTTATGAGGTGCTCGTTAACTGCGCTCCGAAAATAGTTTTGAATAAAGTCAAAATGTAAGTATCATGTAGTAACACACTTGGCATGCACCGACGCAGCAGTGATGCTTTTGTCAGCGGTTCCCTCATGCTCACTGTCGGCGGATCGGATGGCGCAGCGGATGACTTAATGGATTCTGGGTGTGACGGTACCTACATTTTGACTTTATTCAAAACTATTTTTGACTTTAATTGATGAGCACCTCATAAATAATTAATGAGCACCTCATAAACTATGCGTGCTCGAAGTTACAATCAGAACAAAGCCCATTAAGATAGTTAAAATCGCCCATTCTTGTCAAATTCTTTTCACTCAGTTTTTGACCTCCCCAGAAACGCATAGCAAAAATGAAACCCATTTTTGTGATCCTTGTATGGACCCCTACAACAAGCAACAAACCATTTCCAAAAAGCGCGCCACGACCTGAAAGACCTCCCTTGTTAGTGAGGGCATTTATCAGGTTCTCATCGATCACTGCTGTGGTCTCCTATGGAGACCTGTGGACTCTTGTAATGAACTGGAGTTGGCGTGGCTACTTTACTTGAACGTGGTGTAGAATACGTTTTTGTGGGATATTTCCATATGAGACAACTGTCATCCTGTTTTGTGCTGGACAAGGGCATGGTTACAGTTGTCCTTAAAGACGATTCCCGCGATCAAGTATTCTACCTATAGACGAGTAGCTCATCAGTGATTCCCCAAGGAGGAAAAAAAGCAACCCTAAAAACAGCCATTCCTTAACAGTCACACGGCCTAATTGTACGTGTTCTCTGGGCTTGCCCGTTTTAGGCCAGCAAATTGATATCCAGCTGCTTCCAGCTCACTAACTTTCTTCGCGTCATCCAATGCTTATACCACCTAACAGCAAAAAAAGGTGGTGTAAGAACTGAACTCGATAGAGCCTGTGTATTTTGGTGGGGTGGGGGGCACAACGAAGGAGGCGGTATAACTGCCCCTTATATAGGCCCAGCGCCTTTGTTACTCAATGAGAAGCCGCGAACGAAGGATAATCTCAGATACTGACGGCCAAATTACTTGTATGTGGAAGGGCACGTACTAATTGCTTGAGCGCGGGGACTGTCTTTAACACGGAAGCGACAATGCAGCTATGACCTCCTCACAACCGATGTTTGGAGTCCATGTATGAGAGCTGGCAGACGAAATATTAGCTGGTGATCTAACTTGCCGGTTGACAGTTGTCACACGGTCTATGCCAGGCATAACTGCTATAAAAAGCATTGTCGATTTTGATCACTGAGCCGGTACAGTGGTCTCATAGCCTACTAATTTATTCAGTTCTATTTTCAGACCTACAATAGTGCTTTTCCGCAAGTTACCGACTACCACAAGTATGCCATAGAGCTACTTCTGTCAATCAGCCAAGTGGAAGACGTTGAAATTTTCAAGGTTGGTGGTCGCAGCGATCTTGTGCATCTTTCCCTTTGCCACCAAACCAAAATATCTTTTGAATTGATCGAAAACTTCCAATTTTGGCATTGTTAAAATCGGTTTACAATATCACTACGTGGACCACCTACTATTTTTAAAGAGCTTATTTAGGTATGTCTCGACTACTGGTGTGCTTTGACTTCTGAACTTTATCGTCTAAATCCCTTTGCCCCACCATCTCCACCCATCGCTATATCGTTCAGCTGTGGAGGGGCTGCTGCTGGCAAAGAGCATCCAAGACGGAAGTTATACAAGTTTGTTCTTTTCCTTCTACTCCGTGCTTGTTCAATACTAGAATCAGATTTGAGCTAGCGAGTCTTTTTTAGGGAACATCTTTCAAATTTGCGTACTATAATGATTTCTCGAATGGCAAAACCAGAAGAGGTGTTAGTAGTGGAGAATGATCAAGGCGAAGTGAGATTTTATTCATAGTAACTGATTGTCTGCTATTTGTTTGACCTTTTACTATTTGTATTGTCTTTTATTAGGTTGTACGTGAAATTGTGAAGGACACTGATTCCATTACGCTATACAAGAACATGCGTGAATGTCTGGTCTACCTCACACATTTGGACTGTAAGGATACTGAACAAAAAATGACGGATAAGCTTGCCAGTCAGGTTGGATAGTTTCTCATCTTTTCATTTTCGTGAATTCAGAATTTTTATAGTCACATTTCATATTAATGAATTTAAAAAAAACAAACGCAGATTGGCCTGGTGAGGGCATGGTATGTGACAGGAGAATTTTAATATGCCGCACTGGTGGGAGTAGCGAGCGACTTCGCGACCGACAGACGAGTTGTTCTGCGTGGCTGTTTGAATTTCAGTTCAGGGGGACGAGGAAATTGGACATCACTTAGCATGAAGTCTTGTTCTGCTTGAGTTTATATAAATTTGCTGTCCCAATCGATAAGCCGATGCTCATCGAGAATTTGGCGCATGATGCGTCCCGCGACGACACGACAAATTACAAACGTCTTGTTCGTCCGCCGCGCACTAACAGAAGTGGTACTTTGTGATCTGCGAGACTTGTGCAAGACATCTTATGAAGACCGCTAAATTTTTTTGTAACTGTAATTGTTCTCTTGCATCGTTCCACAGCTCTACAAGACCTTACTGGTGTTGACCTGTTAGTTAACATGTACTAGCATGAGGAACTAGGGAAAGTGCAGAATGCCCCACCAAGTCAGACGGCGCTCAAAAATTCCTTCAAGGGAAATTTTCAAAGGTGTCACACATGTTTTTTCTTTTGCTAATGCACGTTGTACAAAATCCTACGATTACGTTCCATTTTCGATTTGTCAAACCTTCCACTAAAACGGATGGTTCCATCTACCTCCAGTAGGCTGCAAGATGCTGGCTTTCCACAGTTCTCAGGGAATTTTGTCATCTTTAATGGAAACCGAAAAAGGAAAAGTGTACATCGTCAGTCTAGCGGAGGTGCGGCAAAAGGGGTACCGCTGTCGCCCTAGGGACGGACAAGTCAGTCGCAGTTTGTCGCGTTGCTGCGCGTGGCGTATCGTGCAACCATGCGCGCAACTTCCGATTAGCATCATTTGTTGACTGTAGCAGCAAAACTCATGTGAAATCAAGCAAAGGCAAGACTTTATGACAGGCCAACTGGAATTTTCCCATCCATTTTCCCCTTTCCAAACTTTCGAACGGCCAGACAGGACCACTCGTCGTTTGGGCGTGACGTTGCTCGCCATGCCTACCGACGCACCGCATCACGATTGTCTTGTCTTACACTCGAGTCGCTGTACATCCGCTTCTTCTACAGAGACTGAGAAACTGGCCTAATTCCATTTTCAGTTCCCCCGGTCTTTTCAGGTGAATGGATCAGAATTTTCATGGAAAAACCTGAACACTTTGTGTTGGGCAGTTGGTTCAATTTCTGGTACCATGGTAGAAGAGGATGAAAAACGTTTCCTCGTCCTTGTCATCAGAGGTTCGTATCTTGTCTGTTCATTAATGATGCACTCCTTCATCGTTCCTCCATGGAACCCTAGCAATCAAACCTGCGGGGTGTTTTTCAACCTAATGTTATCATGATGTGCGGCCGGCATTATTCAGATCTTCTTGGTTTGTGTGAGCAGAAACGCGGTAAAGACAATAAAGCCGTGATCGCATCGAACATTATGTATGTTGTCGGGCAATATCCGCGATTTCTTCGAGCTCACTGGAAGTTCTTGAAAACGGCAAGTTTTTTTTTCACAGCTCTAATTCACCTAGTTCACTGCATTGTCTACGTAGTCCTGTTTAAGGTTATCAACAAGCTGTTTGAGTTTATGCACGAAACCCACGAAGGAGTTCAAGATATGGCATGCGACACCTTCATTAAGATTGCGATGAAATGCAAACGCCATTTCGTAATTGTTAGTGGTTCGACCCCTCAGGACCTCATACATATGCGTGTCATAATGATTTTATTACAGATGCAAGTCGGCGAACAAACTCCATTTATCGATGAAATGTTGAAGAATCTCAGTGGAATAATATGCGATCTTGCTCCATCCCAGGTGTGCACACTTTTTATTTACTTCTTATATAAGTTAATGTTTTGGGCGTCATAAAGCAGTGAACATAAGTCGGGGAAAATAATAGCAACATAAGGTTCTACGTACCACTGTATTTTTTGGCGGTTGTGTCGCGATAGATTTTTTTGAGAAACAGGAAAAAAGGTGTCGCGACTCGCCTTGATGGGGCACCATATCGTGCTCAGCAAAGCCTGTACAGGCCAAGAACTCTGAATCTTTGTGACCAGATGGCTCACTGGAGCAATTCCGCAGCTTCACAAGAGTTTACAGGCCTCAGCAAAATGAGACCTGTTAGTTGGCATGAATTAGCGAAAAGATATGGCGAAAGGGCAAAGTGCCTCTCCCAAGCCGAACGGCGCCAAAATAGTTCTTGGACATTGCTTTGTGTAAAGATCCGACCCCTCTTTTCGCCGCTGAAGAAATGTAGAAGCATGTCAGAGTGTCGCGTTGTTGCTCAAGTTGGTAACAGGGCTCCACTACTAGTCACTGGCCAGTACCTTGTAGCTAAAATAGGCCGAATATTAGTTCTGTTAAGACTAAATTTGGTTGTACAGACAGCTCTCCATGGTTCTTAAAGCACTAGAAGTCCAGATTGTATTGGTGTTATATCGTAGTGGCATTTCAAACAGGTTTCGCACCAACGTTGTCAGGATGAGGGTGCTTTGGGGGTATCATGGTCGCTGATGATGCACTTCGAGCCCAAGTTTCGGGAGCAGAGCAAAGGGCTGTTGTTCTCTAAAAAAGCACAGCCTAGTATCTTAGACGGTGAACCCACTGAGCCACCGAATGTTTGATTTAGAGGGGTTGAATCAACGCTTAATCTCTAGCGTTCTGAATCTTAGTTAATTTTGTCCATGACATAGCATTCCTGACCAGTGTAGAACAATATAAGTAGGTGCGCCTGTTCGTTAGGAGCTTTGCCGCATAACATTCTGCCCTGCAATCCGTAGTCACATGTCTGATGTTCAATAGTTCAGGTCCACGTTTTCTATGAAGCAGTTGGGCACATAATCTCCTCGGCTAGTGATGAACCAGATCAACAAGCAGACCTGATCGAAAAGCTAATGGCGTTGCCAAATTCGGTTTGGGATGAAATAATAGCAAATGCTGGCGAGAATATGGCTGTACTCGAAGACGCAGAGGTAATTTACTAGCATCTCGTAATAACGCACATTATCCTTTTCAACATTAGTTTATCTTTAGGTTTCAAGGAATCTCCTCAATATCTTAAAAACTAATGTTGCATGTTGTAAAGCTGCTGGAAATCCGTTCATTACGCAACTTAGTCGGTTGTATATTGATTTGCTTTCACTTTATCGTATATTGTCGGAAAAAGTATCGACAGCTGTTGAACAAAATGGACAGGAAGTGTTGAAGGTAACCCTTTTTTAGCCAGAATATATTCCATACTGTTTTGAGTTGCGCACAAACAACTTTTCAGATGCCTTTGCTCAAGACAATGCGTGCGGTGAAACGTGAGATTCTGATTCTGATTTCAACATGGGTAGCCAGTGCGAAAGACAGACAGGTTGGTCTGTCCAATTCCTGAATTGACTACAGACTGACAACATGCAAAAATCGCCTATTATTTATTGATTCCCAATGCATATATAAGCAGGCAATGAGCAGATATTCTGTGGTATCAGGATGCATCGTAAGTTGGGGATCCACAGCGAGGGAGGGTAGTATCTGGTCGCTGAAACGAGGGGGGTCGTATTTTCGAATGATGACTTTTCTCGGTTTTGCCATCTCTTGTGTACTCCCTTGCGCGACAGCAGGTTTCAGGAAAAAGGTGAAGGGTGGCAGGAAGTAGGGAAGCTTACGATTAGTAGGTGGTAGCTAGGAGAGGGATTGGAGAAAAGGGTTGTGCCATTCATGGGCGGGTCGTATCTTGCAAGAATCTTCCCTGGTGGCAGGACGCGTTCTGCGTTTCGTGTCAGAAGAATAAGAATTTTCGTGCACAAATTTAGAAATTCCAATCGAACTTCAGCACTGCGGCCCTTGGCCTGCCTCAATCAGGGCGCGTCGTGCTGCTGGGGGAAATTTCTGCAAAATACAACCTTCCTCGAATTACCGCAGTAGTGCAACCTCCCCCTCCCCCGTTCCCCTTCCCCGTCCTTCCTACCATCTTACTAATTTTAACCAACTTCCTCCTTCTTTCCGGAGTTTCTCTTTCTTCAGTTCTTCCGCTTTTCCCCCAGAAAGATGCGGTTGGGCGAGAGACAGTCCGAGAGATACACACAACAGAAAATGTTTTTCCTCGAAGGCATGTATGACCCTCTCCCTCCCTCTAGCAACCAAATACGACCAACGTCTCGCATCAGACCTTCCATGTACGACCTGGTTCCAAGTTTTTTTTTCACTGCTAGAAGTATTGGGTGTTCATAAATTCTTTCTTCCAGATGGTTCTTGAGAACATCGTTCCTCCTCTTTTCGATGCTGTGCTTTTTGACTATCAGAAGAATGTTCCAGCAGCCAGAGAACCGAAAGTACTTTCGCTTCTGAGCATCATCGTCACAAAACTCGGGGTAATTTCTCAAAACTTTTTAGTTTTTTGCTGTTTCGCAAATTTCGTGGATGCTTTCATCTACTGTTCTGTTTAGTCGATGTTGGCTTCACAAGTGCCTCAAATCCTCGCCGCTGTATTCGAGTGCACCTTGGAAATGATAAACAAAGACATGGAAGTACGTAAAATGTGTCACGCTATTGCATGTGAAATTTCCCTTTACAACAGAATTTTAGGCTTTCCCGGAGCATCGCACCAACTTCTTCCAACTAATTCATGCGTTAACCGTCGAATGCTTCCAAGTTTTCCTCGCTTTACCGCCTGAACAGCTCAGCTACATCATTGACGCGGTTGTATGGGCATTCCAACACTCTATGCGTAATGTGGCTGAGATCGGTGAGTGCACAGTCTTTCTTGCTACGGATAATAGGGCGTATTAGTGAAGAGGGACTTGACGCGCTGCCAGCTCGTTCTCTACCAGTTGTTAAAACGGGTAAGCATCAGCAGTTGGTGGAAAACGGAATTGGCGCAGCACAAGACCCGCCCCTCCTGGTAAGTCCGATCATCAGCTGTGAACGAGACTGTACCTTTTTGTTATCCAGATGTAATAAAGCGAATCTAACTGCTCTTTTAGGTCTGGACATCCTAAAAGATATGTTGGATCGCGTTGAGTTTCTGCCTCGGGAACAATCGCAGCCATTCTACAAGCGCTTCTACATGCAGATCTTGCAGCACGTCTTGGCTGTGGTAGCTGACAGCAGTCAAGTCCATGTAGCAGGTGTGTATTCTCTAATTTCTGTTTCTTTTTCTTTGTTGTGAAAACCACATCAATAGCAGCTAGTCCCTTGAAGATAGTCTGCGCGAGTCCTTCCTTGTTCAACTATTGCTTATAGTCTCTGAAATTGTCCCACTATCACCGCGTCACGGTAAGTAAGAAGACGCTGTATCCCTCATAAACGGCAGTTCTGCCGTCTTTCTAGTTGTCGCGCCTACCAAAACTCAGAGTTTATTCTCTGTCATGTGTTCAGTTTTTACGCTGTGTTTTTCGTTTTTTTTTCCTGTCAGAGGGTATTAGCATTGCATGACTCGAAGAAACGGTAAGTGAGCCAAAGGCGGCAGGTTATTTAGTGTTATGATACGAGCAAGTTCAAAGAACCACACAGTGAGGCTTGAAGTACAGTGTGTCGCTGGTATTCACAATGTTCTAAATGATTTTTTGGTTTTTTTCACTCCCTTGGAGAGTAAGCGAGTGTAGATTCGTAACTGGTCTTTAGACCCGCAATGTTCAATCGCGGGGTTTGTCTCTAAACAAATCTTACTCATGCAATTCAACTTTCCGTCGAGAAGTTGGTAATAGGATACATTGGCTTTCATTGCCGTCCGTTTGTTCCGCATTGTCTTCTGCTTACTCGTTGTCGTCAGTTCTACTTGCGATCCTTCGCAAATGAAAGTAATCGACTTCTTTTTGCTTTTACTCTTTACTGTAATTCTCATTCTTTTATTTGGTTTTCTAATTAACCTGATAGCCACCATAGCCTCACATGACACCTGTCTGGCTTCTCTCGCTTTCAATTTAGTCAGTAGGTCAGGGTGGCACACCAAATACCCGAAATAGTCAAGACCTGAGACGTCTCACTAAGCTGAACACTTTAGCTAAAGACAGCTTAGAAGAGCCATATTTGTTAGTTGTGTAGTGTGTTCGTGATGTCCTTTACTTGAGGTACCAGTTTAATTCTGTTTCTCAGTGAAAAACCATTCTTACGAAAGCACCCTATAAACAGAGTTGTGATCAATAGGCGTGAACCTCTTGATCAAAGGAGATTTCACTGCTAGAGTGGCTGGAAAAGCCCTCTGCATAAGATGGGAGTTAAGGTGTTCCGGTTCGCGATCAAGGAGCTTGGGCAAAATTCGCGACTTTCGATTGACAAGGGTGATAGTGGCTTAGGTGGTAGGTTCGGGTACGCTTGCTGAAGAATTTTTTCGCGATTTCCTGATAGACTGGAATTTTCCGATCTGCAATGTTAGAAATCTTCCCCACTCTCTTGGATCGCCTGTCGGTGACAAAGGCCCTGCGGCTTGTGTAAGCCAAGCGCTAGCTGGAAAAGTTATGTCATCCCACACGGCTATGAATTGCAATTGTGGAATGTGCCGTTAAATCCCGAGCTAGATTGCCGCTGATAGCTGTTGACTGGCGAAAAAAGACGTGCGTTTCTATGCGATAAGACAAGCAGTAAGGGGAATTCAATGACGAAGCTGGCGCTGTCAGAAGAAAAATGGACGTAGCTGGATCCAATATGATGTCAGCAAGCATGATCTCGCCCAAACACCCACTTTTTGCTCATAGTTTCCTACATTCGCAGTATCGCCCACATTGTCGTTTTGGCTAGTCACATGAACACCATTTGCTTTTTCCATGACGTTTGATTGCTGCTACTACGTCATCAGTTGCGCTATCCCGCGTCGCTTTTTTTCCCCATGCTTCTTTTCGATGTGTGGGCTAAAATCGCACTTTCTTGGAAAATTTCCGAGCTGCTAACAAATCTACATAAAGGGAGATACGTTTAAATCTACTGGTTGAGTCATATATTCCTATTTGTTAGGAAATAGTGAGGACATAGGCGTTCTTTTATCAGCCACACTTATCGGGTACTTTTCGGCTGTTCACTAATTTGTAAAGTGTCAGACTAACGCCATTTCGAATATCAGCTTCACTTGGGTCACTTTTGAGGTGCAGCTGTAGAAATGACGTTATCGATCATGTAGATGTGGGGCGGCAAAGAGCTGTTGGGTTTTGCATGTGCAGAAATCAACGTCAAAAAACGGGATGTCAACTGAAGAAAGCAGGGGAGCGAATAGCCATGCAAGCAAAAATTGTCTAAGGATGCTTATACGCCATGTAGGGCTCTCCATAAACCTCTTATTGCTTGGAGGGCGGTTTGTTTCAACTCCACACGAAGTTGAAAAATTGGTTGTACTGACTGAGTTTTCAGTGGTAGCACCTTCTTCGGAACCCAAAATAAAACTTTATGTGAAGAGGAGGACAGGATTGAGGTTGTATCTACAAAGGCTAAGAGCTGGTGATATAACGTAGCGTTTCTGCATTCACAGTTGCCAAGAACCGGTCCCAAGACGGGGGTCCTTACAAGGGAGATTGTTCAGATCATGATAAGCTTATTGGAAACGGTTTCTTGCATGAGGTCGAGGTCCATGCACGGACATATGGGGTTCACTTTTGCTAAACGTTATTGGAAATGTCAAAAAAGGTAGTGAAAAAATTCTAGAGGAATGGCGATTTCAACCACCCTTATTCAGCTCCATTCTAGCTGTAGCGTTGAGGGTCTATAGCTTATGAAGTGTTTTTTCACTAGGCGAGAAAAACAACGCAAAATAATGTCACAATCCATGTACTTAGCATGTGACGAGCTACAATGAAGTTTCTTCAGTGATTTTCTTCAGCATTGGCGCTAAATAGCCCTTACGCGCTGGTTCACAATGACTTGAATGGCATATATGTGCATTATACGTATTATCAGGCATTCCGGAACACATGAAGGTGGAAATCTGAAAGATGCGAAAAGATGCCACCAAGAGGATCCGATCCACAAAGTGCTTTGGGGTGAGAGTCCGTTGCGCTATACACCAGACCATCCGCCTACTGCGACGTTGGATTGCGGGAGCTGTTGAAGAAACATGCGGGGATAACGAAGATACTTCAATGTAGCTTACCAAATGCCAAGTAAAGTACTTGGGTTTTAACCTTATTTGCCTTGTTTTTCATGCCTATTCAAAGAACACCTTATAAGACCTTATAAGCTAGGCATTCTCAGCACTACAGCTACAACGGAGCCGAATAAGCTGGTCTAAATAGCCCTTTCTTGTGGAATTTTTTTACTCCTTTTTTGACATTTCTAATAACGTTTAGCAAAAGCGAACTCAATCTGCGTGGTCAAAGCATGAAC